CACGAACAACTTCTTTCCTACAGAGGGATGTTTGAGCATACTCCCATATCACATTAGTACTATGACCAGTCCAAATAAGACACGTTTCAAAAGTATAGAAGAAAAAATGAGGGTAATATTCTCATAGTGAAAGTTTTCAGAGACAACAGCTTGTAAACTTATTTGGATAAAACTGCACACTAACAAATCAAGTAATGTACATAATAATAATAATCATAATAATAATACATTCCGCTTAATTTGAGAAGTGTTAAATATTTCTACAAAAATAAACACAATATCATCACAACACTGAAGGAGATACATTTATGTATTCTTTAAAAGACTTAGGCAGAACATTCAATTAAATTGTAAAATACAAGTGATCTTAGATACAAATGTTCAGACTTTTCATTCTGGTCTTGGTAAAAGATAAGTCTGTTTTTATTTACCTATTGCCGCTAGGAATGCAAGTATGCATATACTGTCCACTATGGTTATGCTTTACCATTAGATAGCTCCACAAGCACTTAGTTGCCCAAGGAGACAATTATCTTGCCAATCTGACCTCACCCTATTCCTTGAAATCCAGAAAAAAAAACCCTGAATACCAGAAAAAACACCTTTATTTTCATTACTCTCATGATTTGTTATCAACATTATTAATAACTATAATACTAAAATTGGCATTAATAATGATAACAATAATAAGAGAAATAAAGCATTTAGCTCATGTAAATTCATGGATGGAGTAAACAGTTGAAGCCAAGTGGACATATTAACTGACAAGGTGCTTGTGTTGCCACCCGTGTGCTTATTAAAAATAAATCTAAACAAAAGTGAACAGTGCATGTTCACCTTGTCAATGAATAAACCATTAAGTGAAGCAAAAATAAATGTTCTGCATATTTCCTTTGAGTTCTCTATACACATAATGCATTCTGGTCTACGGGCATTCAATATCTGTGTTACAACAATTCTATTCAACAATAAATCGAACATGAAAAACTTTCTACGAGTAGGCATGTAATGAGACTTACACTCACCCAAGGAATATGGGCCTTTAGTAAAATCATCCCTTTGAATTTTCTCTATGGCCACACAAAATAAAAATCCCATAAATTTAATTTTCTGGCAAAAACCATACTTTTTCCATCTACTTTCATTTACTTTCCCTCTCAAGATCAAGTTTTCTAATTGGCACACTACAATAAATCTTCAGTAACATTTGCTGGTATGAAGCAATACAAAATAACCAAAACAAACATTAATCACTTAATGAAGTCAGATATAATAAGTTAAAAAAGCAACAGGTTTTGAGTCAAAGATATTTTGTCTTATACATCAGTTATAAACAAGTAAGGGTTAGACTGTATATATGGAACATATTTCAGTTTTTTGCCTGTTTTTAAATATCTAAATGGTGAGAAGCCAGCAAAAGGATCAATACTAATATCCAGCAAAAATGTATGGTGCCAAAATAGTCTGCTGCAATTACTTAATCAACTGGTTAGTTATTTTAGACTAACAAATACAGATAACTGACATGGTGAAGACTGTAACAGGCAGAAGAATAAAGCAAGAGTTTAATAATCTTCATAATCAACTTTGGAGATGCATGGTAACCAAATTAGCATATGAAGGATCTGTACACTATATTTATAAGCTGTGAGGGTCAGGAGAGCTTGCACAATTCTACCACAATTTAGAAAGAAGTAAAACTTCCTAATCAAATTATGCTTCATACAAAAAATGGATTATAAATTTGAATAATCACATAATAGTGAGAGATGAATGGAAATCCATATTAGAAGACCTTGCCTAGCTGACTGCAGTAGCTACACCCAAACACCCAAACAGCTGTTTGAGCAATCCAATTGTATACTGCATTTACCACAAAGGGCCATGCTATCAAAGACTGCCTGAAACTGTACTTCACTATCTTTATCAAATATTTTCTTCATAATGTTAAAAGAAAGGCCATAAACTAAAAGACCTAGCATGTGAATACAGCTTACCACAGCATAAGTACATAGCAGGATCATAAAGACCTCACATCAATAGTACAAACTTTTAAATTTAGTGGTTTAATATAACCAAAAATATTGACTTTCTAACCTGTGATGCATGTTTCTTTAATTAGGTTTTCTAATATTTCCCATAAAATATGAATGTTTGACAGCTTAAACAAACAATATTCTTTATGACAACTGACAAAGGAACAACAAGGCATGAGCTACTGTCTTAATATTGGTAAAATATAAAGAAGAAATAACCATACAGTCATCTTTCTCAAACTATACAACAATTTTCTACAAGTTTACAGCAGCAGGCACCACATCTATTAACCACTCTTAGGAGGAACAGCAAATGGTGAAGGGAGATGTTAAAAACAAATCCTTCCCCTAATTTTTCAGATGACAACATATGGATTGTGCATGCCTTACCTCGGCAGTCCTTGGTGAAATGGCATAGAATATAATCATTGTCCTGGGCTATATCCTTATTTCCTTGACCAGAT